ATGTTCTTGTTTTGTGTCTTTTGAAATGTTAGACAAGAAGAAAAAGGAAAGGAGCTCAAAGGAACAGTACTGCCCATTAGATAAACCCAAGCATCTACCATGGAATGAATATCCATGGTGTTCCCACACCCCACATCTTACACCTGGAGCTCCACTCACCCAGAACTATTTTCAGTTCCCAGAACATGCCTTCTCTTTTATACACCCAAGGCTTTGCATATACTGTGAAGTCTACTAGGAAAGCTCTTTCTGCCTCTTGACTGTATAGAAAACTACTGAGTACCCTTTATTATTAAGGGTATTATAACTGGCCTCTTAGGGACTCTTCCTGACGTTTCAGGTATATCAAATGCTTCTTGCTCAGTGCTCCATGGCATCTACGTATCTCCAGTGCAGCATTTATCACACAGTTCAGAAATTAGTCATTTATGTGTTCTCTTTTTGTTGAACAGGACACTCCTAAAGGATAAAGATATTATATCTATTTTTCTTTTTCTTTCTTTTTTACCTTAATATCTCCTGAACATAGCATAATTGTTTTCCTAGTTGGACAACTACTTTATGATTTCAAGATCCTGATCAAGTAGGCTCCCATTAGCTCTTGACTTCTGTTGAGAGATGACCAATAGTTTCATCAACTCCTAGCATATGTGCCTTTTGTTACCAGCAAATAGGATGGGGGAGGAGTGAAAGGCAGAACTACAGGGAAAAGAAATGGAAGAAACATAGAAAGCAGTTCTCTATCTCAAGACAAATAAGAAGCAGAAGCCATGCATTGGTATGCTATCTAATAGGTTCATGAATGTAATTGTATTTGTTATAATTATCAAATATTTGCTGAACTTCAAAGGGATGGTCCCAGAATTCTTTCTTTTTTTTTTGAATGAGAAGGTTGAAAGAATATTTCTTTACAGTCTGGCTGTTTTTCCAAATCAGTTGATCTCAAGGCATCATCAATTTGCAAAAGAGCTCTTTGGCTTGTGTCCTCTCTTTCTCTTTCTCCCTACTCTTCAGCACATTCTGTTGGTTTGGCCAAGGAGCAGACTGAAAAGTCAAAAGAGAAAGGCCTGGAAATCAAAGAGGTGATTACAGCCAAAGGACTGAACAAAGAGGGTTTGGATATGGCCTCTGTTGTCACTGGAGTAAACGGGAAAGTAAGCAGGAGAGGGACACTTGCCAATTTGATCATCTCTGATTGGAAACCTCAGAGATGACCTCAGTCTCTGGAAGGCAACAAACCCAGAGTGGCTCACCATGTGGAACATGTTAATGATATGTGGTTACCTAAGACCACTTTTTAAATTTTATTTGTTAGACAATGAATTTACATTTAAGAACCTTGAGCCCTGGCCAGTTTGGCTCAGCAGTTAGAGAGTCAGCCTGTGGACCAGAGAGACCCAGGTTCGGTTCCCTCTAAGGGCACGTACCTCGGTTGCAGTTTGTCCTTGGCCCTCGTTGGGGTCACGTGGGTGGTGACCACTTGATGTGTCTCTCCCACGTCGATGTTTCTCTCTTTGCCTTCCTCCCTCTCTCCCTCCTGCTCTATCTGAAGATAAATGCAAGAATGTCTTTGGGTGAGGATTAAAAAAAAAAAAAAGAAAAAGAACCTGGAGATAAATTTTTACAAAAATAAGTATAATGATGATGACTAGGTAAACAATGAGTTGTTCAGGATAAACTTTGAAAAAACATCCAAGTGGCCGAAGATGGTAGTAGGAGGTTGGCAAGGACTCTTGTAAGAAAAGGAGGGTGGCACTGATGGGCTCGCCTAGGGCACTCAGACTCTACAGAAGGCCAGAAATTCCATGGCTGGAATGGAAGAAACCAAAGGAAAACCGAAACCTCTCTGAGACCTGAGTCAAGAAAGGCACCATCAGCTTTAGAAAGGATTCCCGTCTCCCGTACTAGAGGATTCCTTCTGTCTTGAGAGTCTTCATTGTACATCAAGCTGTTTCCCTCAACTTTAGGCTTTGACAAATGAATGCTGTTAAAGTTCATGAAATAATGACTCATATCCATTGAGATCTTGCCATGCAACAAGCATTGTGCTAAGCACTGGGATATAAAAAACAAACAAACAAACAAACATGGGATTTCAAGTAGGCGTGCTGGTGGTGAGAGAGGTGAATTTTCCAATACTGCTCTTGCCATGTCATCTCACCAAATCCTGATATATGCAACTAGTACTTCCTAACAGTTAGGTCTAGCCAGTGAAGCTTAATGGAGTTTGAGGACAAATAAGATGTGGCACATAGTAAACAAACATGATTAATTTTTCTAAGAAGACATGCACTCTGAATACATAAATAGATTCTGTACGGGTCTAGGATAAGGCTATGAGACATGGATCCACAGTGGATTAGTAAAGTGTTGTTAAGAATGTGTGGTCTTAGCCAATGCTTTTTGGTAGCCGTGGCTCCTCCTCCATAATTTTATCACCAAAATGCCCTTGTGGTGACAGACCCCTGCACTGGATGGACCGTGGGCGCATCCGCACGTGGCATGTCATTCATAACATTCTTCATGGTTAAGGAAAGTCTTTCTGATGAGGCTGTGGAGATGTCTGGCTCTCTCACCATTACCCATTGGTAATGGAACCAGAGAGTCAAAGTTGCATCAGAGATTTTAGCCCAAGGTCAGGATGAACTTTCTAATAGATTTGTCAAATAACTGAATATTTTCCTTGGGAAATACTCCAACAGAAGCTGGATAACCACCCAAGATGGTATGATAGGGTAACATCCAATATCCTTCCCATTTTTGAAATTTATGATTCTATAACTCAGTCTTTCAGTTGGATTTTGGATTTGGATAAATGGCTAACTGGTCACTGTCCTGTATAGAGTTGACTTCTTTAACCCAGCCAGTGTGGCTCAGTGGACTAAGTGTTGTCCCATGGACTGAGAGATCTCAGTTCGATTCCCGGTCAGTGCACATGCCCAGGTTGTGGGCTAGACAGCTGATTGATGTTTCTCTCTCACATTGATGTCTATATCTCTCTCTCCCTTCCTCTGTCTCTAAAAAACTAGTGAAAACATATAAAAAATTCAAAATAGAGTTAACTGCTTTAAATAAAATCATTAATAAATTTGCCACAGCCTCTTTGCCTGTTATGAAAATGAATCATGATTCCTTTTCTATTTCTTTAATAGATACTATACTGGCAGTATCAGCATGCTACTGGTACTTCACAGTCTTCTGTTACCTTATTGTGAAATGAGAAGGGACTGTTCTTTGTCCTTGAGCTAATATTTTGTCACCAACATTGACACATGTTCTTGGAAAGAATGGAATAGCAGGTGGAACAATAAATAGCTGGCCATTTGCAGTGCGTCTCCCACGCCACCAAAGCGAACCCTAAGATGTTCCAAAACAAGGCAGTAAGAGCTCAGCCTGTCCTGTTTCTTATATTCATCAATACTCAGTTTGGCTTTACCTGCCTATTCCCTTGTTATTCCTAACCTCCTAGTTGCTCAGACTCTCTCTCTCTCCACAAATAGTTTCATGTACTGTATTCAAAATTAACGTCGGGTGACTGTGGAGGTGTCTTCTATTCCTACTTTTAACAGATTAACAGCTAATAAACACCATGCTACACCCTCTCCTCTCCACCTCTTCTAAAAATACAAAGTTTGATTTGCCAACATTGGTATATTTAAAGCCTCCAAGATTCCAGAGAAGACTTTAGAAAGTTAACTGCAAGTAAGGCCTGTTCACAGAGGAAGTTTTCTAGAACAAAGAGCCAATCCGTATATCAGCAGCTCATCTGGGGAGAACCTCAGGGAATCTTATAATCATTTATAAGGAAAGGATATTTGTTCTCACTTAAAATAAAACTTCTCACTTTCTTCTTGGTATGCAAGACAGAAGAGAACTCTGGAAGTGTACCGCCTAGGGAAACAGCGTACATTTCGCCTCAGGAGGGCACTTGTCTTTTCTAGGAAGGGACGCCGTGGTATATTCCCATGACTTACACCATTTCTCTACCCTCCTTCCCCAGCCTTCTCCATAGTCCCCGAATTCCCCCTTCCTCCACTTAGATGGAAGCAGTTAATTTTAAATAAATGTCAATAATTGTAAGCTGTGTTCAAAGCTTTAAGTGAGACCCCACCTCATACTCTGTTTTGATGATATGAAATATCAGCAAGAAGATGTCTCAGGTAACCTGGATAATTATTAAAATGATGTTGGTCAAGGCCTCATATAAATGATACAGAGACAGTTTATTGAAGAGTAAAATAGCAGTGCGTGCATAGATTAATTAACGGAATTTCCAATGTCAATGAAACAGAAGCCTTAAAATAATATATTTGCAAACTACTGAGTGTTTTCTGAACTCTGACAGTCCCAACTTTTTGACCCTCAAAGACCAGCTTGATTATTAGATTAAAAAATACACATAAATATTTGCAGAAATGTATTAGTCTTTTTGCTTGAGATATAATTTCTAGGATCAACCTTTTTCTTTGCCTTCAGGTAGGTATTTCTTGATGCAACAGAAACTCAAGTCTATTTAATTGCTTCCCTTGTCTTTTATTTCTATCGCCTTGCTGGTCAGTTTCATTGACGTCACATACCCAGTGGTGTAGTTGACTCTGGGACAGGCTGTCAGTGCACTCTGGTAATGATGACGACATTGTCCTGTGCTAGAGAAACAGCCAGTGCTACTCTCTGCTCAACTCTGTGCACGATACTAGTGACCCTGGCCTTAACATGTTCTTTTTTCATGCAGACCAAACCTCCTTTGAAGAAAGATCAGAGTGAAATTTCATCATAGTTATGACTTGCTTGCAAATAATCTGAATTGGGTTCATTTCTTCTTCCTCTTGCTGCCCGGTGTCATTTGTGCCGTGTGCTCTTCCAGACTGATTTTCTGGTGGCGCTGTACCTCAGTGTCCATGTCTATGCCACTCGCCAGACAAGTCTCCCAGGGTCTGGAAAAAGTCAGTGTGTTTCTTGGGATTATTTACAACTTCCTTTGCTGGCTTTTCTCTCTGCAGAACCGGACTGGAAGCCATCATGGAGACTTACGCGTTCTGGAGACCCCCTGTGCGCACACTCACCTTCGAGGATTTCACCACCATGCAGAAGCAGCAAGGTGAGCCCTGGGCAAGGCCTCTGCTCAGAGGTCGCAGGGAGGGAGTGGGAGCTGGACTGAATATAGCACAGCTGGCCCCAAGCCAAGCCTGATTTTCCAGGAACACAGAGAACTTGGTAGCTCTGTAAACAACTAGAGCATCAGCACCTGTGCAAACAGGCCATTTCCAGGGGCAGCATTTCACCTGGCACCCCAAATTCTCCCTTCTGAAAAGCAGGGTTATACATTCGTGGTTATGGTGGTGGTGAAATGATCATTTCTATCACTAAGCATTCACAAAGCCCTTGGCATTCAAGGAGATCTTCATAATAACGTCATTTACTTCTTGTGACAGCCTTATCAGTTTTCTTATTCTAGTTTTGTGAATGCGAAAAACTCAGCGTAGGGCAATGGGAATAAGTCGCTCCCGGTTTGAAACGGAGCAGGGGGCTGCTGAACTTGTAACTTGTGCTCTCCTTTCTTGCTAATGTGGGACCCGCCTCTTTAGTTGATAGGCTAGGTGGACTCCCCTCCCCCCGCTGCTTTGTGCTTTCCACCCAATTTCCAGCACCCCTTCCCTGTAGCTCAGGTGGAGAAACCTGTGGCCACGTGCACAGATGGCTCGTGGGCTGACTTCACCGCCTTCCCTCCGTCCAGTCAGGACTCTCCCAGGCACAGCACCCATCCATCTGGGCACCGGCGGGAAAGCTTGCCACCGTGTCAGATGGCTGTGAATCCCCCCTCCAGCCTCTTCCTGCTCAGAAGCGACACTAGTCAAAACGACAGATGAAGCCTATTCTGTTCCATCAAAAGGCTACCATTCATAGAACCCCAGTCTTCGAACTTGTGGCTCTGTGCTATGGGAGGCCATTCTAGGACGTGACAGTACATGATATTACATCCCCTCTCAGAGGAGTGTCTGGCACTTCATACACTGAAAGAAGTTTGTGACTTAAAACACTGACATCTCTCAGGTTCTGAGGTGGATGTAGATTAAATGCAAGGGCTCTGCAGTCAGACAGCCAGGGTTAGGCTCTCATCACCGTTCCTTTCTAGCTTTATGGACTCAGTCAAATTCCTCATCCTTTCTGACACTTAGTTTTCTCACCTGCAAAATGGGAGCGTGTAATAGAATTTTTGCAAGGATTAAATGAGATAATACATTTAAAGAGATAGGACGCACTCAATACATGCTAGCTGTCGTCTTCATCATCTTCATCAACCTTGTGTCTCTCTACCTAAGAGGAAAGTGAATCAGGGACAAGAGATACTGCTTTTCTAAGGATAATTCAAAACACGATTAGCCCGTTCATCTTTACCAAGATCTGGTGATCAAATGACCCAGAATGTCTCCCTCCTTTTTATAAGTGGAAGGAAAGGGGGAGGTCTTCACATCAAGTGGCTTGCTCCCCACAAAGCTTTGATAGAAGCAGGTCAGTAAATATTCAGGGTGTTATACTTCCCTTTTAAAAAATTCTCACTCGAGGACATGCTTTTATTGATTTTAGAGAAGGAAGGGAGAAGAGGAGAGAGAGAGGGAGAAACTTCGATGTAAGAATAATACATGTATTAGTTCCCTCCCATACCTGCCTTGACTGGGAATCGAACCCATGACCTTTCAGAGTATGGGATGACGCTCCAACCAACTGAGCCACACCAGCCAGGGCCAGGGTGTCATACTTCTTTTAGGTCTTCATGGCCTTTTTGAGGCAGAGGTTTTATGGGGAGTCAGGAAATGTGGGCCCTTATCCTTGATCGTCACTAACTTTGTATAATATAATCTTGGGCAAATTACTTCTCTGGGCCCCTGTTTCCTTACCCACTAAAGAGGGACACTTTTTTGTGTGTGAGGCCCTTCATATAAACATGCTCTCTAAAGGGAAATTTATCACGCAAAGACACTTGACCCTATTTATTTATGAGGTGGCTTCTCGCTTATAGACCCTTGCCTTGCTCACTGACTTTCTAAGTTCTAGCTCAGCCTGGAGGCTGATAGGAGAAGGTTGGCAGGAATATTGCCAGTTCCTGAGAACAGGTGTTGGTGGTGACATTGTATTCACTGCTGTGTTCCCGAGACTTACTGCAGGACCCGGCACCCAGGAAGTAGCTAATGAACAATGAGTGAGGTCACTTGGTGGCATTGTGGCTCAGGTAGGCGAAACCACTGTCTGATTGCATTTTGGAGCACAACCACCTACTATGTGTGGATGTGGAACTAGGGATGCAAACTGCATTTCACCAGCATGGGGGGGCCCTTGGCAGGTGCAACACGAGAACCTGTGTGCATTGCTTAGGTGTACAACACTCAGGTTTCATGGTGCTTCTACTAAACATTTATCAATATGAAGACTCATTGCTGATACTTAGTGAACAGTGGTTTAAGAGAAAATGAACTTTCAAAGTAAAACGTCACGCTTATTCCACGACTGCCTTTTTCACTGATGAGGGGAGGGGAAGAATGAGCTGGAATTATTGGATACACATGTCAGTGAGATGAACTCAAGGAAGAGCCAAGCCTCTATATTAAATAGTTTAATTGAAATACAATTTTGAACTATACACTGAACTTGATCCAGATTCTCATTATTCAAAAATATGTGGTTTGGTTGCTTGACATTAACAAAGGATGTAAAAGTAACAATACCCATTTCCTCTTCCTTGAAGAACTAAGAGTTCCAGTAACTCTGGACAGTATCACTCATAAAATAAGGAAAAGAGACACGGCCGTCTGTGTTGGATGGCTTCTGTGTCTTAGAAGAAGTAAGAGAATGGTGAACTTCTAGAGGAAACTCCAGTGGTGGACCGATTATGTAGCAGAGTATTGGCAGTGTGGGCACCGAACCTAACATCCAAACGACGACTGACTCAGCAAGGCGTCCAGTTACCTCACTGTTTCAAACACATGGCCACCTGGCATGTCAGATGCGTGGCCCAGGGCAGTTTTGAGCCGCTGCTGCATCAACCTAACTGCTTGGATGAAGTGAAAGATGCTTTTTTCATCCTTCCCTTGCTTCATTTTTATTTCTCTTTTATTAAGATCCATCTGTTGATATAGTTTCAAGGAAAGCTCTTGGGTGAATTAGCCACAGGTTTGCAAAAACCCAAATCTTTCTGTTTTTAAAAAACATATCGAATGGGTGTCTATATAGTCATTTTCTCATATAAGAAGAATGCATGGGATTCATGATGTTTTGCCTTTTACACAAAAGTAAACTGAGGCACAGAGCAGCCTAGTACCGTATCTGCAGTTAAGTAGTAGAAGAACTGAGTTGAGAACTCCAAAGTGTATCTCATACTCGACAGGACAGTTTCCACCAGACCACTTATCTTTCTTCATTCTTACTTAGTACAGCTTTAATTTTCTGCAAAAAGTTTAGTTTACTCTTCCAGTTGATGGCTTATTATTCAACAACTTGTGTACTAACTCTGAATAGTTCCATGTTCCATTTTCATGGAGTCAAGTGTATGGTCTGATCTTTAGACATATTCCTTTAGAACTAACAAGGGAGTTTGTATGTTTGCAGAGTCTGGGGATAGAGATTATATTTCAGGAATGGCTTGTGCTTGAATGCTGCCAGTGACAGGGACAGGATGAAATCACCAACTAAGTTATGCTTGGGGAAGTTGACTGAGAAAATACAGAGACAGAAGAAAAGAAGTAACAGCTCAGGTCGGTTGTAGCCAAGTTCAATCCCATGGTTCAGATGTTCTGGTGGTGATGTTATAAGACATGTGCAGTGGAGCTATCGTGTGGTCAACACCGAGAGAGCTTGTGAGCGGCATCTTTAAGTGTATCTGACAACTCTTGGGCTGAAAGGAACCGTTCTTGACCAGCAGCCCTGGCTAGGGTTGCATTATGTCTTCATCTGTAGAAACGAGACCAGCCACTTACGAGAAATGAGAAGCCCTCCCTCTCCTCACCTGGTAGCAGACATCACTAGGCAGATTTTAACACCACTGGCTGTTGTAATGTTGGTCAGGTCGTTAAAGTTTGGATTATGGGGATGTGCATTAATTAGAGGCTGGTCAGTGAGAGGGATCAGTGACTGAGTAAATTTATACTAGTAAGAGATTGGGAAAGGAGCCTGGCTGGTGTGGCTCAGTGGTTGAGTGTTGACCCAAGCACCAAGAGGTTGCTGGTTTGATTCCCAGTCAGGGCACATGCCCAGGTTGTGGGCCCAGTCTCCAGTGGGGAGCATGCAGGAGGCTGCCAATCGAAGTTCTCTCTCATTGATGTTTCTATCTCCCTCTCCCTCTCCCTTCCTTTCTCTCTAAAATCAATAAAGAAAAAAAAAGCCCTGGCCGGTTTGGCTCAGCGGTTAGAGCGTTGGCCTGCGGTCCTGAGAGACCCGGGTTCGGTTCCCGCTAAGGGCGCGTACCTCGGTTGCAGTTTGTCCCCGGCCCTGGTTGGGTCGTGTGGGTGGCAACCATTCGACGTGTCCCTTTCACGTCGATGTTTCTCTCTCTCTCTCCCTCCCACACTCTATCTGAACAAAAAATAGAAAAAAAAAAAAATGTCCTCAGGTGAGGATAAAAAAAAAAATAAAAAAATAAAGAAAAAAAAATAAAAAAGGAGATTGGGAAAGGAGAAGAGTTGAATGGAGAGCGGTCTCTGAACCACTGTGTGATCACTGTAATGATTCAAAAATAGCCAGTTTCATGTATCACTGAGATAAGGAATGATGTTCACAGGGAATCTCATTTATCACTGAGATAAGGAATAATACCCAGGAGAGCTCATGACAGGGGTTGGAGAACATCTCAATTTTTGCTAAAACAGTTATCAGTTATATTTTCTATTTTGTCCCCAAAATCCCTTATACTCAGTGTGTCCAAAACTGAGTCTGCGATTCACCTCACAGACTTGGTGCCCTCCCCTGGAGGCAGGACACCCCCTCTGCTCCTCATCCTGGAGCGCCACCCCCACCCCTCAATGACCATTGCCAGGTTCCTAGACCCATCCCCGTCTTAATCTCCCTGGTCACCACCACTCCAGGGCCATCCTTTCTCACCTGCCTCCC